ATGTTTTTTATGTGCAGATGCAGAATGCCCAGATGCGGAAAATAAACTGCATCACTATTTTCTGCACCTGTCCAGAAGCACATCCAGACTCAGTTGTTAATCCAGTCCTCTTTTTAAGGCTAATTCTTTAAGCCCAACCAATTCAATTACCTGTCAAATCTGGACAGGATGGCCTTTCAGGCCTTTTTTATTGTCATTATAGTATTACGGGGACCCCCGTAGCAGCCACATCCGTGCTCAAGCCTCCAACGAGGGAACATGCGGGAGCTGCACCCACCAGCAGGTGCGATACCTGCTACAGCAGGTAGGCGATCCCCGGCCAGGGGTCAGCCGGTAGCATCAGGACCGAGCTTCTTCGATGGGCCAGTCACTGTGCCTCCCATCCGGTCCCCTCCCCCTATGAACATCAGCAGTCTCTGCTCAATGTCACTCGGGGGGACCAACGACATATCTCTAGGTGGCGGGCGCCAAGCTTGCCCAGGAAGGTACATGAGGCCAATGGGGATTGAAACTAAGATCCGAATGCCACTTGCGTGCCTTACCAACTGAGCTAGGCTGCTGGATTAGTCCTCTTTTCTGCGAGTGGGATCAAGAGGTAGAGAATATCCACGAAGATTCGAAAGTGAGGAGTTTGTTGCTGTGCTCAAAGGCGGCCAGGCAGAGGGCAGATTCCCTGCCTTTTTTTTTTTTTTTTTTTTTGGTTGGGGACCCTCCTGAGAATGACTGTAGCGCAGCAGGTTGAAACACTTTGAGTAAAGTGTGTGTGCTGAGTTCAGTGAACACCTGTGTGTGTGTGTGTGTGTGTGTGTGTGTGTGTGTGTGTGTGTGTGTGTGTGTTTAACACTTGTTTGATATCGCAGCGAGTCCCCACCTACCCGGATTCTCCACTTCTGACTGTCGATTACGAAGATCAACTACCGGCAGATAGATCAACGGCCGGAAAAACGCAGAATCTGGGCAAGCGGGATCATGCCTCTGCTCTATGCTTTATTTCTTGTATTCAGAAGGAAGAGGAGGGCCATTGCTCTTCTTTCTTTCGTCCTGTCAATGTGCCGGGGGTTCCCGGGCCTTCGAGTGATGAACCGCCGGCTTGCCCGAGTTAAAACCAGCAGTACTTGGCCCATACATCGGCCGCGGGGCGTTGTCGTTAACGCCCCACATTTCCCACAACTTCCGGAGGCTCGGGGTACCGGCCCTCAAAGGCTGGCGCCGCCAGCCAAAACAATTTTTTCTTGTTGCGCCGGCAGGACGGCACGAAACGGCGCGCAGCCCGTTTTCAGGCTTGGCATCGATAGCTGGGCCAAGTACTGGTGATTTAAATTCATTCATGATGAATTGCATTCCAAGCGCAGGCAGAGGAGAACAGAAGGGTCTCAAGTAAATAAAAAAAGAAAAAGAAAAAGAAAGGGGAGGGTCCAAGTACAAGTCCAACGACAGAACAAAAAAAAAGGACCTGTTTTTTTTTATTTTTTTTTTTTATAAGTCTTGGGCACCCATGAACTGATGAAATACAGACTCCAGATGCAATCAAATGAACTTGATACAATAATTATGAATTACATGGGGGCCGGGGCCGGTCAGTTGAATGAAGCTGGGTCTCGTTCGACACTCCTTGGGGCGTCCTTGGGGCCGAAGGAAGTTTCATTGGGGGTTTTCAAGGAAATTCCTGCCATTGTTCCACCTGTCCTCGGGGACGTCGCCTGAGGACATTTCCTGCGAACCATGTCAGACAAGAAAAAAGAAAAGAAAAAAAAAAATGGAATGTGTTTGAGGCCTTCAGGCAATAGGGTGCCGCCACGATCCAGATTCTCGGTTGAAACGTCTCTCTACATATGTGCCCGCTCTTCTCCGTGAAACGCGGATTCCTTTTGCCGGTGAGGTCCCTTGGGCAAAAGGATGAAATGGTTGGGGAATCCTCGAAGCCCAAGGAATTTCCTTCGGAGTGTTTTCATTTTTTTTTGCCGACTGCATCCCCGAGGATAGGTGGAACAAACAATTCCTCGGGGACTTTACGCGCCCGAGGAGTGTCGAACGAGCCCCGCTATCTCGAGGCCATCACCCTCTTTGTTTTTGTTTCAGAAAAAAGAGAAAGTTGGAAAAAAAGGGCCAAGGGTCTCCAGTCTGCCACCCCAAACAGAGTCTCACGCCTGTAGCCAGGACACCCATCTTCTTCTCGTTCTTGTTGATCTTCTTCTTCCGTTTTTTGTTTTGTTTTCTAAAGAGATCATCCTCAAATTGACCCGGCGCCCCAAATTAATTCAGAGTTGTTCACACTCGGCCGGTTGCATCTGGATTCGAACTTGGGTCTGTATTGCAACATGCCAATAGAAAAAAAAACAGGAAGCGGCACAAGAGAGATTTTTTGTGTTCTTTTTGGCGGAACTGGAGTCGGTCTCCAGTCAGCGGCACAAGAAAACCCCTGATGATTTTGGAATGGGGGTCAGATGAAACCTGCAGGGTCCTTGCGCTGTTTTGGACCAGGGGCGAGGTCCCACTAGCAAAGAGGATTGGATGAACCATCTGAATCTGGACGTGTTTTAATCAGAGATGCAGAAAAGCAGTTCCATCGCGATTTTCTGCAGCTTTCCGCAAACACGTCCAGATGCAGGAATTCAAATCCAATCCTTCTTTCCGCAAACACGTCCAGATGCAGGAATTCAAATCCAATCCTTTTTCCTAGTGGGACCTCGCACCAGAAGTCGGTGTTATCGATGTGAATCCAAACTATGTGTTATCGAAGTTTATAAAAGAGAAGGGGAAGCTAATAAAAAATAGTGGCCTCCGTTTCTGTTACAAAAATATAACGGTTTTCGTTATTTCACCAACTTGAAGTTGGCAGAGAAAACGTGTGGGAGGCAGGGGCGCCACCACACATCATGTTGTGCATCCAACCTCCGGTTCTTGCGCTATGTTGTGGACTCACGGATGTATTTTTTAGTACAATTTGGGTAAGTTCATTCGTTTTTGTTTGTGTTTGGTGTGTGCGGCACTATGATGGCTTCAACTGTACAATTTTCTTTTTCAAGTTTTTCCACACTCACAAATGATGCACTTTTTCGTCCCGTTATGGTACCTCCTCTCGCCGGGGGTTGGAAAAAAAAAAAAAAAAAAAAAAAAGAAACGTACGTATGGACTTCGCCAACATGGCATGACTTTTTTGTTTCGCTTTCCAGCTAATTTCAGCACATGCACTTTTTGCGCGTACCTGAGTTCTAGATGGCTTTTTCGATCTGGATCGTTCTCTTTCCGTGTCGTTTATTGCATTTGTCTTTCGTATGTGTGTTTTTCTGCTGCTCATGATATGTGCCATACTTTGGGCCCCTTTACTGCTCACCAAGGGCTTCACTGCTCACCAAGGGTCTCACCACACTACTCCCGACTTGGAGAAAAATTTCGGGAGTACTCCCGAGCTTCCGAAGACACAAAAATCCATTCGGGAGTGTGCTTCGCCACACTGCACTCCCGATATGGGGCGCTCTCCGATTTGGGGGCCAGGAGGCGCACTTCAGACAGAGACTGTCCAGCACTGTCCGGCATGTGACAACGACAACTGTGAGGAGAATGCTTGTTTGTGGCGTGATAAGTGTGAGGAGAATGCTTGTCTCATGAGTTTCTCCGATCGGAACACAGGCCTCCGCAAGAGGTCTCCCGAAAATGGCCTTTTACCGACGGGAGGCTCAAGCGATTTTGGGAGTGCTCTCGGGAGCCACACCTTGACAGCTCCCGAATTCAATCTGACAGGTTGAACTCGGGAGCTGGTGTGGCGACGCTGCCCTCCCAAAAATGAAGTCGGGAGTTGTGTGGCGGGGCACCAAATGTGCAAAATGAGAACGAATCTTCCGGTACAACATGGGAAGATACACCGCCGTACTGTCTTTTGTGCATCTGGTGAGTAGTGGAGCGAAGCCCTCTGTTCTTGTGAATTTGCCTCACTGGCCTGTTCACATCATCTTGATTGCCTTTGCCTATCTTTTTCTTTTTTTGAGGCGTGGAGTCACAAAAATGAGTTATAATTGCACTACGGGCCAAGATACAGTCTGCTCCCCACGAATAGACTGGAGCATTTGTTCCCCCCCCC